AACACCAACAACATAACAATAATAATAATAATAATAACAATAACAACAACAACCAACAACAACAACAACAACAACAACAACAACCACAACGACGACGACGACGACGACGACGACAACAACAACAACAACAGCAACAAGAACAACAACAATCATTTTAAGACTGTTCGCCCTTATCAGCTCGAGTGTCTCCAATCACGCGTATTTCCCAAACCCTCGATACCCGCCCTCTTCGTCTTCGATCGAACCCCTTTGGGGGGTATACCTTTCTTCCCTGCAGGCCGGGCCCCGGCAAGCGGCGGGGCGGCCGCGGACCGTCGGCCTGGCCAGCGGCAGCGCTGATCGGTGGGGTGGCCGCAATCCGTCGACCCGACCCCGAGAGGGACGGACAGGGGACCGACGACGACGACGACGACGTCGACGACGACGGCGACGACGTCGACGACGGCGACGACGCGCGAAAGCGAGAGCGAGAGAGAGCGACAGCAGGGCCACGAAAGACACGAAGTAGGCCACGAAGGGCGACAGCGGGGACACGATGGGAATGCGTATGGGGCCACGAAAAGCGCGAACGAGCGGGGGCCACAAAGGGCAGATAATGCGGGGCCACAGAAGGCGACAATGGGGCCACTGAGGGTAGCAACTGGGCAACGTAGGACAGTGAGGGGGCCACAAACGGCGACAGCGGGGCCACGAAGGGCATGCACATGGGGCCACAATGGGCGCGACTCCTGGGTGCCTGGATGTCGGGAGCGCGGCGCTTGTGCAAATTGCAAGAAATTCCAACGCAAGGGCGCTATTCTTCAGTTGATTGCAAGCAAGTCTCCAGCGAGAGCGCGACTCCAGAGCGCCGGGAGAGCGATTCCTAAATAAATTGTCAGGAAGTCCCGAGCGACAGCGCGATACCTGAATAAAATGCGAGGAAGTCTCGAGCGGGAGCGGGGGTCCTGGCTAAATTGTAAGGAAATCTCTGGCGGGAGCCGTTGTTGTTGCAACCTGGGGGCCAGGGGCCCAGTTCGAGCCTCAAGACTTCCCGTGTCGAAAAACAGGGTGCGAGCGTCGAGGGGCACACTTTGATCGAAAACAAACAGTATGCACCGGTGGAAGGGGGATCAACAATAAATCTTCTTCTGACCTGAAAAATCAATAATTTTAAAACTGTTCGCCCTTATCTGCTCGAGTGTCCAATCACGCGAATTTCCCAAACCCTCGATACCCACCCTCTTCGTCTTCGATCGAACCCCTTTTGGGGGTATACCTTTCTTCCCTGCAGGCCGGGCCCCGGCAAGCGGCGGGGCGGCCGCAGACCGTCGGCCTGGCCAGCGGCAGCGCTGATCGGCGGGGCGGCCGCGAACCGTCGACCCAACCCCAAGAGGGACGGACAGGGGACCGACCACAACGACGACGACGACGTCGACGACGGCGACGACGACGACGACGCCGACGACGACGACGACGACGAGCGAAAGCGAGAGCGAGAGAGAACGACAGCACGGCCACGAAGGACACGAAGTAGGCCACGAAGGGCGACAGCGGGGACACGAAAGGAATGCGTATAGGGCTACGAAGAGCGCGAAAGAGCGGGGGCCACGAGGGGCGGATAATGGGGGGCCACAGAAGGCAACGATGGGACCACTGAGGGTAGCAACTGGGCCACGTAAGACAATGAGGGGGCCACAAACGGCGACAGCGGGGCCACAAAAGCATGCACATGGGGCCCCAGTGGGCGCGAACGAGCGGGGGCGTATACTGGGCCGCGGAGGGCAAACACGGGGCCACTGAGGGCAGCAACGGGGCCACGAAGGGAAGCGAGGGGGCCACGAAGGGCGACAGCGGGGCCACGAAGGGCATGCATATGGGGCCACCACGGTCGCGAACGAGAGGGAGTCACGAAGGGCATACATATATGGGGCCACGAAGGGCAGCGAGGGAGCCACGAAGGGATGCAACGGGGCCGCGAAGGGCAGCGAGGGGGCCACGAAGGGCTGCAACGGGTCCACGAACGGCTGCGACGGGGCCACGAAGGGCGACGCGGGGCCACGAAGGGCTGCGACGGGCCCACGAAGGGCAGCGAGGGGGCCACGAAGGGCTGCAACGTGGCCACGAAGGGCAGCGAGGGGGCCACGAGGGGCTGCAACGGGGCTACGAAGGGCAGCGAGGGGGCCGCGAAAGGCTGCAACGGGGCCACGAAACAAAGCGAGGGGGCCACGAAGGGCTGCAACGGGGCCACAAAGGGCAGCGAGATCCCGATTCCTGCGTAATCTGTGAGGGAGTCCTAAGCGTGAGCGCGACTCCTGGAAGCCTGGGTGTCCGGAGCGCGGCGCTTGTGCAAATTGCAAGAAATTCCAACGCAAGGGCGCTATTCTTCAGTAGATTGCAAGCAAATCTCCAGCGAGAGCGCGACTCCAGAGCGCCGGGAGAGCGATTCCTGAAAGAGCTGGGGCCACGAAGTGCAGATAATGCGGGGCCACAGAAGGCAACTATGGGGCCACTGAGGGTAGCAACTGAGCCACGTAGGACAATAAGGGGGACACAAATGACGACAGCGGGGCCACGAAGGGCACGCACATGGGGCCACAACGGGCGCGACTCCTGGGCGTGGGTGTCGGGAGCGCGGCGCTTGGGCAAATTGCAGGAAATTCCAACGCAAGGCCATTCTTCAGTAAATTGCAAGCAAGTCTCCAGCGAGAGCGCGACTCCAGAGCTCCGGAAGAGCGATTCCTGAATAAATCGTCAGGAAGTCCCAAGCGACAGCGCGATACCTGAATAAAACGCGAGGACGTCTCGGGTGGGAGCGGGGGTCCTGGCTAAATTGTAAGGAAATTTCCGGCAGGAGTCGTTGTTGTTGTAACCCGGGGGCCAGGGGCCCAGATTGAGCCTCAAGACTTTCCCTGATAAAAAAAAACAAGGTGCGAGCGTCGAGGGGCACACTTTGATTGAGAACAAACGGTATGCACCGGTGGGGGGACAACAACAACAAAAACAACAACAACAACAACAACAACAACAACAACAACAACAACAACAACAATCATTTTAAGTCTGTTCGCCCTTATATGCTCGAGTGTCCAATAACGCGTATTCCCAAACCCTCGATACCCGCCCTCTTCGTCTTCGATCGAACCCCTTTTGGGGGGTATACCTTTCTTCCCTGCAGGCCGGGCCCCGGCAAGCGGCGGGGCGGCCGCGGACCGTCGGCCTGGCCAGCGGCAGCGCTGATCGGCGGGGCGGCCGCGGACCGTCGACCCGACCCCAAGAGGGACGGACAGGGGACCGACCACGACGACGACGACGACGACGACGACGACGTCGAAGACGACGGCGACGACGACGACGACGAGCGAAAGCGAGAGCGAGAGAGAACGACAGCAGGGCCACGAAGGGCACGAAGTAGGCCACGAAGGGCGACAGCGGGGACACGAAGGGAGCGCGTATGGGGCCACGAAGAGTGCGAAAGAGCTGGGACCACGAAGTGCAGACAATGCGGGGCCACAGAAGGCAACTATGGGGCCACTGAGGGTTGCAACTGAGCCACGTAGGACAATAAGGGGGACACAAATGGCGACAGCGGGGCCACGAAGGGCACGCACATGGGGCCACAATGGGCGCGACTCCTGGGTGTGGGTGTCGGGAGCGCGGCGCTTGTGCAAATTGCAGGAAATTCCAACGCAAGGCCATTCTTCAGTAAATTGCAAGCAAGTCTCCAGCGAGAGCGCGACTCCAGAGCTCCGGGAGAGCGATTCCTGAATACATTGTCAGGAAGTCCCAAGCGACAGCGCGATACCTGAATGAAATGCGATGAAGTCTCGGGCGGGAGCGGGGGTCCTGCCTAAATTGCAAGGAAGTCTCAACCGGGAGCCGTTGTTGTTGTAACCCGGGGGCCAGGGGGCCAGTTTGAGCAGGAAGACTTTCCCCGTCAAGAAACGAGGTGCGAGCGTCGAGGGGCACACTTTGATTGAGAACAAACGGTATGCACCGGTGGGGGGGATCAACCATAATTATCTTCAGATATGAGAGTTCAACAACAACAACAACAACAACAACAACAACAACAACAGCAGCAGCAGCAGCAACAACAACAACAACAACAACAACAACAACAACAACAACAACAACAACAACAACACAACAAACAGAATCCTCACCACGGATCCCCACTTCAGCCACGCAACCAGGAACAATGAATGACCGCTCGACCCCCTCATTCTGACATATATATATATATATATATATATATATATATATATAGATGTGTGTATGGGCGGTTCCGGAAACCCTGAACCCAACAACGTTTTCATCTCTCGGGGTCGCATCTGTTACTTCCGCCAGCTTCCGCCAGCCTTGCGCCGGCTTCCGCTGGCGGAGACGGCCTCGTTTTACTTCCGCCGACCTTCCGCTGACCTTCCGCCGCCCTTCTGCCGGCTTCCGCCGAGGAAGAGATGACAACTCCTTCGATCCTCGAAAGCGTGGCCCTGTTTGGAACGCCACATATGTAAGTGTTGGGAACGGAAAATACAAATGTCCACGGCGTTGATGCGAGAGACACTCTTAGAAAGCCAGCCTGCGGTCTATCTGGATAACCTCTGGAAAATGTGAAGATGAACCTGCGATGCACGAATGCAATTACCGAGGAGCTCCTTTGACCCGTGTGGCTGTTGGAAAACTGTACGATGAATGTTACGCCGCCAGGGCGACATTCACATTTTGAAAACCACCTGTCGTCCATCCCTGTCGCTGCTGGATACTTTTAAGACGAACGTGAGTGGCGTTATGGCGAGAGCGACATTTCGAATACCCCCCGACTTCCATCTGCGCTATTACTTACAAAATCAAAAAAGGTGTCAGGCGATATGTTTGGCCCTTACTACCTGCACGTCTGGTGGCACAAGAGGGAGGAGCTGTTGAAAACGAAGAGATAAGAGAGAGAGAGAGAGAGAGGAAAAAAAAAAAAGGGAGAGAGAATGGACGAGGAGGTCCTCCCAGACAGCAGGGTGGCGGGGTGCCTTCGTGATGCTGCGAAACCCGTCCGCCAGTGCCGCCAGCCTCGGCGCAGAGAGAGAGAGAGAGACGGAGAAAAGGGGGACGGCGGCGCATCTGACGCATCTCCACATGGCCGATTCTGGAGACTCCCGAGACCCTGAACGCAAACGTGTTGACGCCTCACTCTTACTTCCGCCGCCTCCCGCTGACCTTAGAAGGAGAACAAAAATGCCATAAGCATAAACTCTTGGCGCTCCGCGCGGACTGCGTGGATCTGCGCTGGACCCCCTCCCTGGCGCGCGGAGCGCGCCAGGGGCGGCGCTGGAGGCGCCGCCCAGGGAAGCCCAGGCGCGGATCCAAGAAATCCGCGCGGAGCGCCACGAGTTTATGCTTATGGCGTTGTCTCTCCATCGAGACCTTCCGCCAGCTTGTGCCACTGGGCACGCCGCCGTGGCGCTTCCGCCGGCCTCCCGCGCCGGTGGCCTCCCGCGGCCGTCCACCGGCTTCCGCCTGCCGGCGCGAGGCGCGCCGCATGCGCGCCTTTTGCTGGGGCGCCCTGCCCAAACCCTTTGGACATCGTGATTGGCACACAACTTGGACCCCGGGAAGACTCGACTCACAGAGGCCTCTCCTAGATGGGGTCCGAGTGGGTGGGGTCGAAGGATCGCGCCGCCTCGCCAACGCATCGCCGACGCATCGGCGATGCATCAGCGATGCATCGGAGACGTCGGCGATGCATCGCCGACGTCGGCGCGGGGACTCGCGCGGGCTCCACCTCGAGCCGCATCGCCGATGCATCGGCGATGCGGCGCGATCCTCTGGCCCCATCTACTCGGACCCCATCCAGGAGGCCTACACGTCGTTCATTTCTAATTGTGCTCATTTCTAATCATGCTCGTGTCTAAGTGTTCCTGGCCCCCGAGTGGCCAAGAAGTGGCCCAGGATAAGACAATCAGATATGAAAGGATCTCGGCCCCGAAAAAAACAACAAACTTTCGAAGAATCAGAAACGAACGACGTGTAGAACTCATTCCCCGGGCTACGACGCGAATGGGGTGGCACATGGCCATCTCCAGAGAGAGGCTCGACCTCCAAGACCTCCTGGCGCTCTGGAGAGCGTCCCCCGAGGGCCCTCCTGGCCACCCGCGTGCCGGAGCTCGGCCCACAGGCAGGGTGGGCCTCACGAAGGGTCCCGGGGGACAGGCTCGAGCGGAGGTGCCCCGGGAGGGGCCAGGGAGAGGGGCCCCCACGTCCTCCCGGATCAGCAGCACAATCTTTGATCCGCGGGTCGAGAGCGCACCTCTTCCAGTCGAAGCTCCTGATCAGCAGCACAAGCAGACCCAACGCTGCGGGAGCGGACCTGAGGCGAGAGGCCCAGTACCAGCACCAGCATCAGCATCAGCATCAGCATCAGCATCAGCATCAGCATCATCATCATCATCATCATCATCATCATCATCATCATCATCATCATCATCATCATCATCATCATCATCAGCAGCAGCAGCAGCAGCAGCATCATCATCATCATCATCATCGTCATCATCGTCATCATCAGTATCATCATTATCAGCACCAGCACCAGCATCAGCATCATCATCATCAGCAGCATCATCATCATCAGCATCATCAGCATCATCTTAATCATCGTCATCATCAGAATCATCATCGTCATCATCCTCCTCATCATGATCATCAGCATCATCATCATCATCATCATCATCATCATCATCATCATCATAATCAGTATCATGATCATTATCATCATCAGCATCATCATCATCATCAGCAACATCAGTATCATCATCATCGTCATCATCATCGTCATTATCATCATCGTCATCATCATCATCATCATCCATTCCTCCGAGGTCGCGAACCCCCGGCCGGCCGCGCAGCACAGTCAAGCCACTGTACCAGAGGGAACGCAGAACAAATACAGCCGGCCCGTATCAGAAGGATGCGCGATAGGGATGCCAAGGGCCTGGGACGCCCATTTCGAAGCCTTTCGAGCGGAGCGCGGCCAATGAAAGTGGCCAAGGGTGGGCCGAGGAGGCAAGGATGCAAGGGTACCCTTGGAAAGGTTGCCCATCCTTGCCATGCGGGTTGACTGTGAGGAACGGAGACCCTGTTTTGCCCCAAAGGCGCCTGAGTGCAAGAGGAGCGCAAGAAAAAACAACCGCGGAGGGACCAATGAAGGAACAGCCAGCCCTCTCCGAAGCGGAATGTTGCTCCTCGTTTCAGCGTCTTGACTACAGCTCAACAGCCCGGGTCAGCGAAGGGTGAGGGGATGGGGAGGGGGGCACGCATGGCTCCCAAACCCAGGTCGGCTGGGGGGATCTGAGTTGTTTCCAGCAAGCAGCACCACAAGCAAGACGTCGAGAACGAGCCGCCGAAGCGTGCTGGCCATTCGAGGTGATCAGGCTAGACATTCCAGCGACTCTTCTGGACGAGGCGCTGCAAACCGCTGGCGGCAGAGGGATGACAACAACGATAACAACGATAACGATAACGATGACAACGATAACGATAACGATAACGATAACGATAACGATAACGATAACGATCGACAACGCTCGTTGTTATCGTTATCGTTGTTATCGCTGGAAGGGTAAATGGCGTGGATTCCTCTAGATCCACCGCCCGGGAACGAACGTCCTGGGGAGTTTTTTTTTTTTTTGATCTCCACGGACCCACCGCAAAGTGCAGATAACTGGCAGGGCGGGACCTGCCAGCACTGAAAGACCTCGCCTCGGCGAGAGCCGCTTTGGGGAGGGGGCTTCGCGAGTTCCTTTCGGAGCGCCCACTATGGCCCCCTCCCCGCACGGATCGACCCTCGGCTCGGGCTCCCACTGTCTGGCAGACATGCCAGAGACAGTGCACAAAAAGAAATAAACTCGCCAAACAAGAGCCAAGCCTGTCACAGGAGGCGAAAGACAGGCGAGGACAGGCACCAGCTGACCCACAGCTGGAAAAAATCCGTGCGCGGGGCAGGGGAGCAACGGTGCGAGGGTCACTAACGGCGCAACGCCGGGCAGTCCCCACTCGCACCGCGCCCCCCGCCCGCACCCGCCCACTATTCAGGTGCCTCGGGCTCGGGCGCCTGCTGAGCATCGCAGGCACCCCGAGCTCCGCGAAAACAAGCGGCTCGAGGGGCTCGCCCGCCTTGGGATGCAGGCCCCTTCGAGCCAGCTCGAGCATCGACGCGATGGAGGCCGAGACAGCCCGCTGCACTTAAGGGGCCCTTAAGTGCAGCGGATCTGCTCCTAAATTCGCCAAACAAGAACCAAGCCTGTCACAGAGGCGACGGACAGGCGAGGACAGGCACCAGCTGACCCTCAGCTGGAAAAATCGGCAACGCGGAGAGCGTCCTAAGCGGACAGGCGGTCGCCGCTTAGGTCGCGGGAAGCAACCTATGCCACAACAGCCTGAAAGCCCAGGAAGCAAAGCACGGCCGAGGATAAGATTGGAACAGAAACTCAGAGAAGGAGTGGCTCCGAAGGCCTACGCACGAACAAAAGGTTCAAACCCGCCAAAAGAGAAAGGCTGGCGAGAACACTGAAATTCAATCCGAATCTCCCGACCCCACCTCAACAGTCCCACCCGTTCCCAAATCTTCCGCTTCGCAGCGGAGAGACGCAGCAATGCGATCCAAGCACTCCCTGGTGGCTGAGGCCGAGGCGACCACATCACTCAAGGAAGAGCTGGGCACATCGCTGCTGGCATGAGCGCAGGCAGAGGCTGCAATAGCTGGAACTGTGAAGCTGGGACGCTCTTGCCCTTCAGCGCTGGCCGCATTGCCAGACGCGCCAGAGGGCACAGGGCTAGAAACAACTTCCTCCGAAAATTGAGGATTCGAAACCAAAAACGAGTTGAAGCAACGAACGAGCGAGGTGTCGTCAACTGTGACACCTTTGCTGGACTTGGAGTACTGCGGGTGAATACCCTTGCACAATGCGGCCCAACCTTGGCGGCCCGCACGGGTGGGCTTCTTGCAAACTTCTCCTAGGCCTCTAATCCTGCCACCAGTGGAGTGGCATTTACACTTAAGGCATATGAAAAGCACTGTCTTGTCAGAACAGTCGAAAGCAACAGTCCTATGCCCAAGGGCATCTTGCCTAGCCGCATGCAGCTTGGAATCCTGGGGGCACCTTCCAGGGGGGGGCCGAGACGAGCCCCTGTTCCCGCGGAGGCACACCGCACACCTCCAGACGTCAGCCCAGACTTCCCAGCGATGGCCAACCTTACTGCGGGAGCTTAAATGCTCAGCAGGAGGAGGAGGGAGGTAGGGAACGTCGAGAGAGAGCTTGGGCCAAAGAGGAAGCAAGTTAGCAGCAAGGATGCAATAACCCCTGGCCGCTTCCACAAGCTTGTCCACATTGGCAAGTTCGGTCGGGTCGGATGGGTGAAGCTGAAGGGCATGTTTCGCCCCCACATCCGCATCAGCGTTTCCACGCCTGAGGAAACGTTCTCTCTCGGAGATGCCCTCCTGGTGCACATCTAAATGAGCTTTGACCTTAACAATTCCTTCCAAAAAGCGGCCCTCGAAGTTGTTGGCACACATGATCATTCCTGAATAAGACCTCTTGCCCGAGTACCTCTCGGGCAAGGGCAAAGTGCTGTGAGACACAACGTTCGCACAGTCCGAATAAATAGTGGTCGGCAACACCAAGAACTGTGCGGCTACACACCTGGCAGCATATTCAGCCGCCTGAGGCGTCTGAGGAAGGTGAGCCCAGACAGGGCCTCTCGCCTCTCCAAGGCACGTGCCATCCTCAGCATGCATAGTAATCGCATAGGCAGCTCTAGACAATTCCTTGATCGGGCGGCGCTGACAGGACCCATCTATAAAAACGTGCCCCCACATCTCCCCGTTCACTGGGACCCTGGGACCTTCAGGGCTAGGGAGCTCGACACAATGCCAAACGAACTGAAGGGCATTCGTTCCCTCCTCAACAGGACGCGGCAACACGTCAGCGGGATGAGCGAAAGCTCCTCTGGTATAAAGAGCTCGCACATGAGGGTCGGGTTCCGCCTGAGCTGTCCACACGGCGATGGCATCT